TAGGTAGTTCATTGGATGAAGAAGGGTTGGCAGTGGACATTCCTGAATACTAGGGCTGGTCCTATTTGACACAGTTTCATCTTGTTTATTTGAAAGATGGGATACATAAAAAGAACTTCAAGGTTTCAGAAGCTTCTAAGTGGTTTCTGTTGGGGATATTCTCAGCTGATAGAAGTACATTTTAGGACAGTTACGCACAATTTTATGAGTGAGCAGCAAAAAAATAACAGATGAATTTCAGGGTCAACACATACAAGATGATACAATTAGGAAAAAATAGTCCAGGGCCGGCCCGGTGGCGCACTGCTACAGTGCGCCGCTTGGGAAGCGCGGCAGCGTTCCCGCCGAGGGTTCGGATCCCACATACAGACCGGCCGCTCACTGGCTGAGCGAGGTGCGGGAGCAACACTGAGGGTTGCGATCCATTGCCGGTCACAAAAAAAGACAAAAAGGAAAAAAAAAAAATAGTCCATAACTTTACAATGATCAGTTAGGTCCTAGGAGCAGATTCCCAAGAGTCATTGTAGACTGTTCCCTGAAGGCACCAGTCCACTGAGCTACTGCAGCCAAGAAGATAACAAAATGTAGAGCACCAGAAACAAAACAGCTAGAGTATCCTAGATTGTTACAAACAACCTGGTAATTGTCTGATTCAAATATTCTGTGAAGTTCCTAGCATATTAAAAAAGGTATGATGATGATAGGGAAAGTTTCCAAGAGCAATCAAAATAAAATGACCAAGTGGATGAAGGTGCCATTTTATAGAAAGCATTTCAGTCTTGAAAAATGACAGCTATAGGGAAATACTGAAGGTCAGTGAAACCATAAAACATCTTAAATTCTGAATTCCATAATTAGAACACTCTTTACAGCTTCAAAACCAGTTAGGACAAGTTAAAAGAAGGTAGCCAATAGCAAAAATGGGGAACCCATCACTCCCCAAATGTGGCATGGCATAAAAGTTTAGATCATTGTATGGATACGTGATATGTATAATGGCTTCTTAAGGAAAAATAAGAGCTGTTTGAGATAATCCTGCTTTCTCGTGATTGTCCCCAGATGCCCTAGTGGCAACAGATCAGCTTGGCATTTCTATTGTTGTTACACCTACTAAGTTCTTTGGTTGGCATGAGAGTATGGTGTCATGGAGAATATGTTCTTCTGTGTCATTCCTTACAGTCCCTTGACAGAAAACCTTTCTTCTTCTTTAGGAGTGATTTGGGCCCTGATGTTGGCTACGAAGCTATTGGTCTTGTGGATAGTAGTTTACCCACAGTTGGTGTTTTTGCAAAAGCAACTGCACAAGACAACCCAAAATCTGCCACAGAGCAGTCAGGTAAGGAAGCCTAACCACTTCTCTTGGAAGAGTGTTGAGAAGCAGTGGTCCAAAATCGCCTGAACAAGGAGTTGCTGTATTGGCCAGAGGGAGCTGTCAGTGAAAGCCTCTCTTCATGTTGTGTTTTAAAAGAAACCAAACCTAAAGTCTTCACTCTTTAGTGGTCTGAGATCTGGCAAAATCAGGTATCTTGGTCAAAGCATATACTCAAATATCGTGAGTGTCCGTCCTAGACAGTGGACAGTGGCTAGCTCAATGACTGTCATTTTGTTTGTCTCTAGGAGATAGGAAGAACTGTGATGAAGAAAACTTGAACTTTTTAGGTTTTGTTTTTGGTTTTTTTCTTTTCTCCTTTTTTTTGGACGGGGGAGGCTTCATGCTAATCTCAAGCACCAGGTGAACCTTACTTTAGGACCTGCTTTCTTCTGTGGGTCCTGGGTAGCAAAGAACTGGGCTGAGTAGTTCTTGGGCTGCCTCTAATTCCATTTGTCAGATCTTAATGCCAGGTTTTCTTTAGATGGGAGGCACCTCTTGGAATGGACTTCTCTCCTACACATGTCTCTTTTATTTAACTCCTAGGCCTTATTCCATGACCTTGGCTCAAGTTATTTAACCTCTGCGTCCTTTTGCCAGAGGTGTTTCAAGGGCAAGCTGCTGTTTAAGGAGAAAGCAAGACATATGGATACGTAGGTCCTTTTCCTGTGTAATTCACGTATATTCCATACTCCTTAATTCTGATCTCTCCTGGTAAGTGAATCCAGGAGAGGGACCCAAATACTTATAAACTCCCGGTCACTGCTATGTCCACTGGGCAGTATTATTTGGAGCCTGGTGTTTTCTCAGGAGACCCCCTTCTCATGTTGCCATTCTCCTCCTTTACCTTCTAATTCTAGGAAGAAATGCTTCCAATATGGTTTTTCCACATGAAAAGTGCTTCCTTCTTTGACTAAAGTATCCTTCTAGCAGCACTGTCCAATAGAACTTTCTGTTATGATGGAAATGTTCTATCTCTGTCCAGTAAAGTAGCCACTAGCCACATGTGGCTATTGAGCACTTGAAATGTGGCAAATGCAAATAAGGAACTGAATTTAACATTTTATTTAATTTGAAATAATTTTCATTTAAATAGCCATATAGGGATAGTGGCTACTGTACTGGACCATGCAGCTCTAGAATGTTTCTTAGAGGGCAAGAGTAAGTCTTCTGCAGTTTGAAGAAATCCAGATACCAGGAAATATCCATAGTGTAAAGTGAGATAAAATGAGATAGTAAGGGAGGGAAGTTGTGGGTCAGACTGACCCTGTGCCTGAGAGCTGGCAAGGAAGAATTTTCCTTGGCTTTGTCAGTGGAGAGAGGTTGGAAAACGCCAGGATTTACCGAGGGGGCATAGAAAAATCATCTAGAAGCAGCTTGAAGGAGGTCTTGGAAGACACTTGCCTTCTAGAATTTCCCAAGCTCATAATAACTGAAGCTTTGATTTTGTATATTTGTTTGTTTGGGGGATTGGCCACAGGGACTGGTATCCGATCAGAGAGTGAAACAGAGTCTGAAGCCTCAGAAATCACTATCCCTGCGAGCACCCCTGCAGTCCCACAGGCCCCCGTTCCAGGGGAAGACTACGGCAAAGGTGTCATCTTCTATCTCCGGGACAGAGTGGTGGTGGGGATCGTGCTATGGAACGTCTTTAACCGAATGCCAATAGCAAGGAAGGTAGGTGCCTGTCAGAGCTCTTAGAGGAAGATGGGAAGTGTGGGTCAGAAAACACTCCTGTGGCTTCATCAGGTACCCTGAGATGCATTGTCCACCCAGGTCAAATTATGCCTAAGCAGAACAAAGGTATAGCCTTGGCTCAAGAACATTTCTTTTTTACTTGGGACTTAGCTGGGTGGCCTGGGAGTTGGCAAGCTGCTTATTTTGGGTTAGTAGAAAGCTGTTCCCACAACTCCCTCCCAGTGTGATGTGGGTCTGGCCTAGGCAGCCCGATTGTGTGGGCCTGGCCTGACCATCGCACATGGAGTGAGTTAGAGACCTATTGTTACTCTCTCCCTCAGATCATCAAGGATGGTGAGCAACATGAAGATCTCAATGAAGTAGCCAAACTGTTCAACATTCATGAGGACTGAAGCCCCACAATAGACTAGGCAAGCACTTCACCATCCCTGGCAGTGGGTTGGATGGGTAAAGGAGCATTTTATATTCAGCAAACTTTCTCTTGTGTATGAACGTGAATGATCACGTCCTTTGTGAATATTTTCAACCAGGTAGGCGAATTCATGAAATAAAATTTGATTCTTCTAAATTACATTCTGTTCTCTTTTAAAAGGGGCGGGTGGGTGAAGGAGAAAAGCTATGCATCTTAGAGAGCAAGTAAACGGCAGCAACTACCAAGTGCATGATTTTTCTCGGCCATGCATTCTCTACTCCACACTTTGAACTCCTTTCATTTCCCTCGCCTTCCCCCTCTAGCCCTTCCAGACCTCTCTGCACATTGCCTGCTGTGGCCTCTGCCTGTGAAACTTGACCCCTCTCCTCTCCTCTCCCTCTCCTCTGGAAGAGTTTGCTATCTCTGTGAGGATTTTCCTGACCCTTCCAAGCCAGATCCTGGTTTATGTGTCTCCCTGCTAGCCCATGGCTTCCTGGAAGCAGGATCCATGGCCTTAGGTTTTGCTCATGGTTATATCTAGAGCTTAGCACAGGCTCATAGAAGGTGCTTAGTAAGTCACTGTTGAATGAGTGAACAAATAAACACACAGAATAGACTCAGCTTTACCTAGAACAACAACTCTCTCAGAACTGAATTGGTCCTGCAGGGGGCAGAAAGGACATTTACTGCAAATAGAAAGAAGGGTTCAGAGACTAGTGCTTTGGGGCTAAACCTGGAGATGGACTCTTTAAGGGGTCATGATCTCTTGACTCCTCCACCTGCTGTACTCCAAACTAGAAATCGGCCCTCTCATAACTCCTTTTCTCTAAAATATGCTTATAGGCATACGTCACTTTACATATGATTTCCTGAGAATACAAATCAAAGTTTCATAAGTCAACTCATTTTTTGGCATTTTAAAGTGCTTAACTTGGGCTGGCTGATTAGCTCAATTGGTTATAACACTGTATTACCACCCAAGGTTGGGGTTTGCCCCCCTATGGGCAAGCTGCCAAAAAAATCAAATCTTATTTCAGTTAAGAGGAATTTTTTACTACTCTCAAGAATCCTATTATGCGTGGTCAGTTGGTTAGAGCACGTTGTTACAACTCCAAGATCCGGGGTTCAGATCCCTCTACTGGCCAGCTGCCAAAAAAAAAAATCTTATTATGAATCTTTCTGTAGAGAGAAAATTACTAGCAGTCAATTTTTTGAAATATTGGGTTTGGAGAACATAACTGGGATCCTAGGCTAGAGTTGAGGGCAGCCCCCTCACCACCTGGAAGCAGGCAAACAGCAGAGCTCACCCGGGTCCTAGGTAGGAGCCCAAGGGCAGCACCCCTGTCCCCCGCCCTGAGGCAGGCAAGAAACAGAGCACGCTGGGGTTCCTAGGCAGAAGCCGAGGGCAGCCCCACACTCCTCTCTCCCTGCCCCCCTCCCCCCCACCTGAAAGCAAGCAAGAAACAGAGCACGCCGAGGGCAGCAAACCCCACCAGGAAGCAGGCAAGGAGCACGCAGAAAATGCCACTTCCACGTGGGTGGCCCACCACAACCACTGCCACACTGCTGCAAAAGGGGCTCTACACCACAGCAGTAGCCACAGCCACCGTGCAGGCATCGTGCCAGACACTGGACTACATGACACAAGGAGAGTCACCTGCAGAGACCTGGAAAAGAAGAGGACATCTCTCTCCTCAAAGCCTGCTCCAGAGTAATAGAAGCAGCAATGGCCGTACCTTGCCCCTGCTTTATTTCTGATTTTAGTAATTGCAGTCTCCTCTCTTTTTTTCTTGATCAATCTAGATAAAGGTTTGCAAATTTTGTTGATCTTTTTAAAGAATCAACTTTTAGTTTTGTTGATTTTCTCTAATGCTTTTAAATTCTGTTTTGTGTTTTTCTATTCTAATCTTTATTTCCTACGTATATTTCATTTTGGTTTAGTTTGCTCTTCTTTTTCTGTTTTCTTAAGGTAAAAGTTTACATTGCTGATTTGAGATTTTTCTTTTCTTTTTTTTTTCTTTTCCAAAGATGACTGTTAAGGGGATCTTAACCCTTGACTTGGTGTTGTCAGCACCACGCTCTCCCAAGCGAGCTAACCGGCTGTCCCTATATAGGGATCCTAACCTGTGGCCTTGGTGGTATCACCACACTCTCCTGAGTGAGCCACAGGCCAGCCCAAGATTTTTCTTATTTTTAATATAGGTGTTTACAAATATAAATTTTCTTCTAAGCACTGCAAAATAAAAAAGTTTAAAATTTAGTTTTTTGTTTTTTGTGGGTTTTTTGCTGTTAAGAAAAACTAAAACTCAAATTTGCATTTTAGAAAAAGAGAGAAAAACTGGGTGTTAGACTGAAAATTAATGTGCTTTATATCTTTTTTTTTTTGTCCTTTTTTTTTGAGACCGGCCACACTGCGCTCAGCCAGTGAGCACAGGGGCCATCACTATATAGGATCTGAACCCACGGCGGGAGCGCCACACTCTCCCGAGTGCGCCACGGGCTCGGCCCATGTGCTTTATATCTTTTGACTGAGTGGGAGTGACCTTTTCCAAAACTTTAGTTTCCCTATATAAGAAATGCATTTTCAAATACTTTTGCTATATTTACTTCTTATAATTCTTGGTAAAAATTAATGTGGTGATTTCCGTGCCAATCAGAATAGGCTAGTTTATGCTGAAGAAGCAAGTAATTATAATATTGGGACCAACACAGGGAAGGGGAATCTGAGCTACGGGAATGTAAGGCATTGTGCTGAGGCCCAAGCAACCAGCATTATTTATTGCTCTTAGATGTATATGCTTAAGCTTATTTTGCAGAAAGACCAGATCCAGGGAACAGCATGCTCCAAAAAGCAACAATGAAACTCCTGAGGAGTGGAGAAGGGCCTGGGTCCACAGCAAGATATCACTGTCAATCAAAATCGAATCTTCGGATGTGATCTGCCTCATCATGCAGTACCTGAAGGAGAATAGTTTACATCGGGCATTAGCTACCTTACAGGAGGAGACTACTGTGTCTCTGAATACTGTGGACAGCATTGAGAGTTTTGTGGCTGACATTAATAGTGGCCATTGGGATACCATTTTACAGGCTATACAATCTCTGAAATTGCCAGACAAAACCCTCATTGACCTCTATGAACAAGTTGTTCTGGAATTGATAGGGCTCTGTCAGTTGGGTGCTGCCAGGTCATTTCTGAGACAGACTGACCCCATGATCATGTTAAAACAAACGCAGCCAGAGTGGTATATTCATCTGGAGAACCTCTTGGCCAGGTCTTATTTTGATCCTCGTGAGGCATATCCAGATGGAAGTAGCAAAGAGAAGAGCAGCAATTGTCCAGGCCTTAGCTGGGGAAGTCAGTGTGGTGCCTCCATCTCATCTCATGGTATCACTGGGACAGGCACTGAAGTGGCAGCAGCACCAAGGGTTGCTTCTTCCTGGTATGACCATAGATTTGTTTCGAGGCAAAGCAGCTGTTAAGGACATGGAAGAAGAAAAGTTTCCTGCATAGCTGAGCAGGCATATTAAGTATGGTCAGAAATCACATGTGGGGGCCGGCCCGGTGGCGCACTGCTACAGTGCGCCGCTTGGGAGCATGGCAGCGCTCCNAGAATTACTGACTTTGAATTACTTATCTATGCCTTATCTCTAAGTCAGATTAGTTGAGGAAAGATATGTGTGTAATGAACATGTATTACTTTTGTGATTTAAAAACCTATTTAAAATTATTTTATTTATTTATTTATTTATTTGTCTTTTTTGTGACCGGCCGCACCGTGCGCTCACTCCGGCCATCCCTATATAGGATCTGAACCCGCAGCGGTAGCACTGCTGCGCTCCCAGTGCCGCACTCTCCCGAGTGCGCCATGGAGTCAGCCCTAAAATTATTTTAAATTAAATTCTGAATTTATTATTAACCAAGGAAGGATCTTNGTCAGCCCTAAAATTATTTTAAATTAAATTCTGAATTTATTATTAACCAAGGAAGGATCTTTATATCTTTTTTATTACTTATTTTTACAAATTAAATTTATTTTTTGCATGAGTAATATATACATCTGATACAACAAGAAAAAAATAGAAAAAGTTGTTTAAGTAAAGAATTTTGTTCCTCCCCACCCCTCACCCCCCTTGTCCCTTAGCCCGTCAGTTCCCTTTCTTGGGCCAGCCAGGGTTCCCAGTTCCTTATGTAACTTTCCTGGAATATTCTGTTAGTGCAAGTCATTACTTATTATGTATCCTTTTCAGATTTTTTTATACAGATGGTAGCATAATATGTACTCTATTATGCTCCTTAGTTTTCCCTTTATAGTATATCTTGGAGATCTTTGCTGTATTTTATTCCACTGTGTGGATTGAACCATGGTATATTTAAACAGTCACTTGATTTAAGATTGTT